ACTAATCATTAATTACTAATCACCAATAACTAATTACTAATCACTAATTACTAATCACTAATTACCAATCACTAATCATTAATTACTAATCACCAATAACTAATTACCAATCACCAATTACTAATAACTAATTACTAAACACTAATCACTAATCATTAATTACTAATCACCAATAACTAATTACTAATCACTAATTACTAATCACTAATTACCAATCACTAATCATTAATTACTAATCACCAATAACTAATTACCAATCACCAATTACTAATAACTAATTACTAAACACTAATCACTAATCATTAATTACTAATCACCAATAACTAATTACTAATCACTAATTACTAATCACTAATTACCAATCACTAATCATTAATTACTAATCACCAATAACTAATTACCAATCACCAATTACTAATAACTAATTACTAAACACTAATCACTAATCATTAATTACTAATCACCAATAACTAATTACTAATCACTAATTACTAATCACTAATTACCAATCACTAATCATTAATTACTAATCACCAATAACTAATTACCAATCACCAATTACTAATAACTAATTACTAAACACTAATCACTTATCATTAATTACTAATCACCAATAACTAATTACTAATCACTAATTACTAATCACTAATTACCAATCACTAATCATTAATTACTAATCACCAATTACTAATTACTAATCACTAATTTCTAATCACTAATTACTAAGTATCAATCACTAATTACCAATCACTAATTACCTATATCTGAGCCGTACATGTGGTACCAGAACACCACACAACTCCCTGTTGGACTTCCTTCGAACGCTGGGCTGGTGAATGTCGTTTTAGCTCCAGGAGTGCGAAAGCTTGTTTCAATGTATAGATAACGACCTAGATAAAAAAATACAGTCAGCTCGTGCCGTTAAAAGCGACCATATATGCGAGGCTAGCTGTGATAGTTAACCCAACTGAACACCACGTAATTAAACTTACTTATTAGTTATTCACAAGAACATGATTAGTTATTCACGAACACAGACACATTTAACGAGAAAGAGAGGCCATTGCCGATAAGTTTCTACCGATAACGACAAACCGTTAAGGCCTACTTCTACTCAGGACAATTTTCCGCAGAAAGAAAATTTTGGAAAATCTGATTGGGCGACACAAAGTTTTCGTCGGAAAAACATTTTGAAGAGAAAATTTTCAGTCCGTGGAAATTTTTCTGTGGAAATTTTTCTTCAGTGAAATTGGGCCTTTAGAACCTCTTCCGACATGTAAAATGCGCTTTTTTCAATTCTGGTTCACAGATCAGTGGCGAGATCCCTGTCATACCTCGCGAGTCTCCAAGTGTATGATCATTGGATGGTCCAGTATTGACTGACGACGTGCTTCCGCTGCCTAGCAACCATTGGAATCTTCCAGTACTGCGCGTATAGCCACACAATTGTGGGTATTGTTCTTCGAATGAACAGTAGTCTAGAGAGAGAAAAATATATTGACAAGAATTCTAGTACTACTACTTTCCAACGACTGAAACGAGTTTTACTCAGTGAAAATTTTAATTAAACACCAAGTCAGTTTCCTCAAACATTTCTTACAAATGCTTGCGACTTTCCCCATGCAAAATTCCTACTGTGATAGTCCAATCCAGCCTTATTTTTTCATAGATTGACCCGGGTACTTTGACGTATCAATCAATATTTATTTCCCATGTGTATGTACAATAATAAGTAACAAAAACTATGTGTAGTTTGAAGGTGTTGGGCTAGAGACCTACTGGAAACCTTTTCAGGCTTTTTAATGTAGGCCACTAGTTAGGTTTGTAAAAAAAAATGCATATATATTTACAGTGAAGAGTAATTATTGAAGTAAGACCTAAAAGTATATACTATTTACAAAAGAAGGATATTATATCATAATATACAGTTACAAGATTACACAATTTTCGCTATAGAATTAACAGTTGCTGTATATCTGTGGTCATTGCATATAAGTTGAAGAAGATCTAGCTTATTATAACATGTTGTTTGATTAATTATTTTGATTAATTATATTAAATATATTTGATTAATTATTTGATTAATTACTTTGACGTAATATATGAACAACGAGAGCGAGTGTTTCACCGGGATATCCAAACACGAGAAAACAATGTATGAAAACATTGTTTTCGAGTGTTTGGATATCCCGGTGAGACACGAGCTCGAGTTGTTTATATGGCTTCTCAAATGAATCGAGACGTAACAGAAGGTTTTCGTTTGCGGATTTGAATGGAATTCTTAACCAAGCATAACGTAATTAGGAATTCTATTCAACTAATTTTGCATGCGTAATTAAGATATTTGATGAAAACACTAGTGACTTTCATCAAGTTTCACCGGATTATCCAAATGGCATCTTATGATCAAATAGGTGATTATCATTGGCTGAATTGCTCATGAATTATTAATGAATTTGAGAACAACATAGCCAGAACTACACAAGCAAAAAATCACACAACTTGTCAACCAGATGTGTTCGCAACAGGCTTGTAGCAAGCTTGTCAACAAGTTGTAACAATGCTGTTATTTTATCAAGTTGTTACAAGGTTGTCACTCACAACTTGTCAACAAGATGTGTTCGGCTTGTAGCAAGCTTGTCAACACATTGTGGTAGTCACAACAGGCTTGTAGCAAGTTTGTCAACAAGTTGTAACAATGCTGTAATTTTATCAAGTTGCTACAAGGTAGTCACAGAACGATCACAACTTGTTGCAAGTTGTCAACAAGCCGTTGACAACTTGTCAACAAGCTGGGGGAACAAGCAGTGCGAACACATCCTGCTAACACGTTGTTGGAAAAGCATTGCTACAAATCTGCTGCAGGTTTGTTACAAACTTGTGCGTGTCTTTACGTGTGTTCAACTGGTACTAAAGTAACTTACCTCTTGCAGAACATGAAGTCTTGAGATAGATATCATCAATGGCAATGTCTCCCAGGAAACTTTTACCACGTACACCTTCGATTACATACTGCAAGAAAAGTAGATTCAGTATTTGTATTATTGATAAGACCAGGGACGCCGGAACTGGGGGGCAGGGGGGGGGGCGGCTGCCCCCCTTGCCTTTTGCTAGGGGGGCAGGGGGGGGGGGCAGAAGTGCCTTTTTAGTTGTAAAATACTACGTGATAAATCACATTTCCAACGATGCTTTTTGTAGGAAAATCATGAGATTCAGGTAATTTATAGTTTATATTTATAAAAAATTTTGAAACTTTTTGGAATTTAGAATAATATTTTGAAGAAATGGCGAAAATTTAAGATATGCGGAAACATTTTTGACTTCACGGAAAATTTTGGTATGTCCGGAACAGTGACCGAAAATTTTTTGGCGACGGGGGGGGGCGCCCAAAAATTTCCATTGAAAAAAAATTTTCCGGTAGATTTTGAAGTTTTGCTCTATAGAGGTGCCCTTGGTGTGCGTCCGCCCCCCTTTGCCTTATTATCGTTCCGGTGTCACAGGAGATTCGCCCCCAGGAGATTCGCCCCCCTCTCGAAAGGGGGGCGATATTCCTAGGAAATTCGCCCCCCCCCGGGGCGAATCTCCTAGGAATATTGCCCCCCAGGGGCGCGAATTTACTAGGAATATCGCCCCCCTTTAGGAATTTCGCCCCCCCATATAAATTTTGAATTTTTGATCTAAAAACAAAACGATTGCAAGTTGAAAAGATTTATTGTGTGATTTATTTATTTATTTATTACAAGGAGACAAAATTACATACACATTTTAGTCTTCTTAGCAGCTGGTGGTGTGCACAGTCTGCATGGCACTCATTTGAGGTACTTAGACTAGTGTCATATTCTACACATCTAAAGTGGAACCATCACAGAGATCGCATAAAATCATGTTGTCGTATTCTTCTTGCAGTTTACATTCACATAACATATTATAAAAACAATCGCTTGCAAATTTTATCAATATGAGTGTTAGCAATAGCCGCCACAGTAATCACTTGCTAACAATAAACTATAGGATTAGTTAACACTGAAAATGCAAAATATGCATGGTGTGCTGTGAAGCGTCATAAGTCCTATTTAGTATTGATCTACTGTAACTGTGTAAAGCCCTTTCGATACATGTAATTGTAAATTTGTACTCTTACATGCAGGGCTTGAAATAACGTTCCCAAAGTTCCCGATCATGGTGATCAGCAGTCGTGACTTTCCCTGCTTTTTTCAGGTTGGAAACCGAAACCCTGCTTTTCCGAAGTACGGCCTGATACTCAGGTTACCGCCGATCATAAGCAATTCCTTGCCGATCATTGATAAGACAACCTACTTTCTTACCAACATTCAAAACGAAACTATATTTATTCTACAGAGCAAAACTTGGGAACACCTTTGACACTGAACTGTGTGCCCTACATGCAGGGGCATTAGGGAGAATTGATGATAGGCTAATTAGCCCTTTCACGGCAGGGACTCCATGTGGGGTTGATACGGCGGATTTGGGGGGAGGGGGGGCGGTACTGTCTAATTACTTTACGGTTGAGTAAATCTGTTCAACCTTGTTCTGTTCAATTCTCGCCGTGTGGGGGCTCATACGGTGGCACTCTTGAGTAACAACGTTGTTGAGTGGTATTAATCCTAGCAAGTTATTCCCCTAATGATATATGAAGCTCGCGTGCTGGCCTATATACTCACTTGATATGAGGTCTTCTGGTTGTTGACAGCGACTTGTGCTTGATACCATGTGTTTCCGTGTGTTCCATAGTGACTCCACACTGGTAATCCCATTTTACCCCCAGATTTCACGTAGACCTGCAATCATGCATAGACATTTATGTATTTATTTATTTTGCCACTTAAAATATACGAGTGTCAGGGTCACCACAACAGTATACAACGGGCCAGTATACACAATTACTGTGGGCCCTTTAATTTAAGAATACAATGCGATGGGATGCGATAGATTTAGTACAGTACAGTACAGTACAGTACAGTACAGTACAGTACAGTACAGTACAGTACAGTACAGTACAGTACAGTACAGTACAGTACAGTACAGTACAGTACAGTACAGTACAGTACAGTACAGTACAGTACAGTACAATACAGTACAGTACAGTACAGCACAGCACAGTACAGTACAGTACAGTACAGTACAATACAATACAACGCAAGGCAGTGCAATGCATTGCAATAAAATACAATACGATACGATACAATACAATAGCGAGATTAAGATTTGGTCTCCACCACCAGCACAGGTACCAGTAAGGACCATGAAAACAACCAATACGTTAGTTTGCCAAACTACCCAAATTATGTATCAGAATGTTACAGGTCTACTGTTTCGCAAGTTGAAAATTCAAATAAATGAATAAAAAGTAAATAAAAAGTAAATAAAGGAAGATACCTGCAGTTTACCGACATGGGGACCGTACATGTGATAATAGAAATGTAGACAGGATTGTGGGTTGTTTGTTGCCAATGGGGAGATGAATCGAGCTGTGTCGTTTGGTTTCCTTGGTGACGATGTCTCGATGTACAAGTACCAGCCGCGTGCTGAAATGAGAAACATGATGTCGGTTAAACCTCGAGGCATGGAGTAGATTTAACTGCATCTGTCAGGAAAGTGGAGCTAAGTGTTGGAGGAACAGCGTATAGTGTACGTGACATTCACTTTTTCCTTTTTCCTTTTGAGATAGTCGAGTTACATAAAGCACTGAGCGATACTTACTAGGCACAAACTTGAAGAAATTTTGTGAGTTATCACAGGCTGAGTCAATCACGAGCTTTATATTATTTCCTGGGTTCGACCATCCTGTTTCAGGCTTTAGACAATATTTGTTCTTGAATTTCAGCGATCCTTTGGCAGTCCAACTCCACTTGTCTGTTAGATCGCAATTGCTGTGAACACCCACCTTGAAAATAGACATAATAACGAATGAATATATCCAGGTATTGTTGTAGGTAGGTAGGTGGGTTCAGGTAGGTCAGGGTGTCCACCCCCTTGGTGAAGATGAAATTGAAGGACTTTTCCAGGACTTTCAAGGCCCTTTTTCAGTAAATTCCAGGACCTAGAACTGGGGAACATCTTTGAAAATGGCATCGATTTTAGACTTTAACCAGCAAATAATTCACTTTATTCAGTAATTTTAATCAAAATCACTAATGTTGGCACAGCTGGAGATTAAGGAAATTAATTCCAGGACTTTCAAGGACTTCTACTGATTTCCAAGGAATTTCCAGTCCTGGAATTTGTTTTCCAATTCAAGGACTTTCCAGGATTTTCAAGGTCCATGGACACCTGGTAGGTGGGTTTTTAGGTAGCTAGGTGGGTTTAGGTAGGTAGATAGGTATAGGTAGGTATAGGTAAGTGAGTGTAGGTAGGTTTAGGTACAGTAAGTAGGTAGGTAGGTAAAATCATTGGCAAAATTTGTCGGTAAAATCATTGACAAAATTCGTTCAGGCACTTTGAAAAACATACTCAACTACAGGGCACTCGAAGAGAGTAATAAATTTCAAACCTAGTATACCAACCTTTGCTCCATCAGTCACTGTTCCAATAGGCTTCACACACATGCTATGCCTTGTGTGCATCAATGTTCCATTTGTAAAGAGCTGGAACTCCAGCCTGCCTTGTCCACATCCTCGGTATACCACAAGAGGTTGTCCATCTTTTGGTCTTGTGTAACCGCCCAATAAAATATGAATACATTTGCCTCCGCGATGTTGTATGGAGCCAGGACCATGGTTCTTGTTTGCCAGAAGACCTGGGATAAAAAATATGAAATTTGAGTACTTCAAAAAACGCGAAACTTATCTCAAAATATCAATGCAGTTCTTCAGGTAAATCTGTCTTTATAATTGTTTGTAGTGTTGTTGACTTGGTGTAGTTCATGATGAAGGTGAATAATTGTGCTGGTATGCCAGTGACCATGGTGCTGGTGATGATGGTGGTGGTGATGATGGTAGTGGTGATGATGATGGTGGTAGTTATTATGATAGTGATGACGATAATGGTGATGATGGTAATGATAGCGATGATGATGGCAATGGTGATGATGATATTGGTGATGATAATGGTAATGGGTAGTGATGATGCCAGTAACTGGTGATTGTGGTGGCACTGGTGGTGGTGATAATGATGGTAGTGGTAATTATGTTGATGAACGTGATGGTGGTGGCACTTCTTCCAACAGAATAATATAACACTTACCCACACCCTTGGTATGATCGGTAGTTGGGCCAGTGTCGCTTGAGGCTGTATGACCTTGATGTCTGGTCCAATTAAAATGATCACTGGAATCTTGAGTCCATTTACAAGCGGTAGGACCAGTAGAAACTTCAAAGTTGCACGAGAATTTGCCAGGTGCTACACAAAAAAAAACATTTAAAAGCAAGATCAAATTAGATATATATATATATATATATATTACAGTGTATTTCTGCGTTGATACGACTGTTTCAATCCCATCTTCCCAGTTTCATAAAATGTTTAACCATGTAATAAATCAACTTTACAGTGAGAGACTTTTTATTTCTAGTCAAAAACAATTGTTCCTGGTTTAGTGTTTTAAATTAGTTGTTTCCCTAATTAGTGAGCTGTTGCAACTCTCATACGTGTACACTCTCATCGACACTCGTCGACTCTCATCCTTCAACTGGTTCAAATTTTAATGCGAGTTGATGAAAGTTTCCACTACACGCCGCGCGGTAATGTCCAGTCAACTCTCATCAACTCTTGTTCGCGTTTGACTGGCGCATGAAAGTTGAGAAAACTCTCATGCAAATTCTCACTTTTCAACTCTTATCAATTCTCATGTAACTCTTGTTCTCGTTTGACCGGGGTATGAATGTTGAGAAAACTCTCATGCAAACTCTCGCTTCTCAACTCTCATCAACTCTCATGCAAACTCTCGCTTCTCAACTCTCATGCAAACTCTCATGCAAACTCTCGCTTCTCAACTCTCATCAACTCTCATACAAACTCTCGCTTCTCAACTCTCATCAACTCTAATGTAAACTCTCGTTTCTCAAACTCTCGTCAACTCTCATGCAAACTCTCGCGTTTCAACAACTCTAATGTAAACTCTCGTTTCTCAAACTCTCGTTTACACTAATAATTGCGACGACTTACGTATAGGTTGGGGTGTAGACACAACCGGTGTAGTCGGAAGCGAGGTGGGATTGATGTTTGCAGTAACAGGAAGGATTGAGCAAGCCTGTTCAACTATCTGTATGTCATCCAAAGCAATGTCACCAGTATAGCTACTGCCAACTGTACCTTCAAACACGAACTGAAATTAAATAAAGAAACACAATGTAAATATACAAAATATGGCTACAGAATGACGATTCAGAATATACAAAATGACGATACACGCGTTCGATTTAGTCAAAAACTCATCATCACGTGTAAAGCTTTCTTCAAATGCGTCCAATAAAGGCCGATTGTACAGATACACCACGCAACTTTTGCCTAAATCTGTCGCATGCAACCTGCTTACAACTTGAGTTGTACTGCGTAAATCAAACACACAACTCACCTACGACACTACACAACTTTTGTCTAAAACTGTCGCATGCAACCTGCTTACAACTTGAGTTGTACTGTGTAAATCCAACACACAACTCACCTACGACACTACACAACTTTTGCCTAAAACTGTCACATGCAACCTGCTTACAACTTGAGTTGTACTGTGTAAATCAAGCACACAACTCACTTACGACACTACATAACTTTTGCCTAAAACTGTCGCATGCAACCTACTTACAACTTGAGTTGTACTGTGTAAATCAAGCACACAACTCACCTACGACACTACACAACTTTTGCCTAAAACTGTCGCATGCAACCTGCTTACAACTTGTACTGTGCAACTGAAGCACACAACTTGCCTACGTTGTCGTAGGTGAGTTTGGCGCTTGATTTAGACAGTTCAACTTCAGTTGTAAGCAGGTTGCATGCGATAGTTATAGACAAAAGTTGTGAAGTGTCGGCCTTAAGAGTCACCCCAAAAGTCAAGAGCATCCAAAAAAACCTGGGTGTTTGGTAACGTCAAACTGGAAGAACTCTTATCATATGTGAAGTACATAAACATTTTGGTTCGATCCTCAGAATCGGTCATTTATCCAAATAACTGGTTGTAATGTCGCATGTGTCACTTCTGTACTAACACTGGATCACTAAGGAATGATCCTTACTGGACTCTCTAGGCGGAGTAGTCCAGTTTTGACGTAGCAATCTGGTATAAATAAGTTAGTTTAATTTAGGTTTCCTCCTGTAGTAGCACTGGATCAACATGAGACGATCCTTACTAGACCTCTAGGGAGAACAGTTTAGAACTGATAGAGCTATCCAGTATAAATAAAGTTAATTTAGTTTAGGTTTCCTTCTGTAGTAACACTGGATCAATAAGAGATGATCCTTACTGGACCTCTAGCAAGAACAGTTTAGAACTGATAAAGCTATCCAGTATAAATAAAGTTAGTTTAGTTTAGGTTTCCTCCTGTAGTAACACTGGATCAATATGGAATGACCCTTACTGGACCTCAAGGAAAAACAGTTTAGAACTGATGGAGTTATCCTGTATAAATAAGTCAGTTTATTTAGTTTAGATTTCCTCCTGTAGTAACATTGGACCATCGAACTAATATGATGCAGTCCGTAATCCAATATAAGTAGTTTAGTTTAAGTTCAATATTACACACCCGGTATGCATCATTTCTCGACACGGAGACACGACCAAACTTCCACTGATTACCCTGGCTACCACTCAAAGACCATAGGACGGACTGAGAATTGTTCCCAGCCCCCCATTTAGCGAAGACGCGCAGCGACCCAGTGCTTTGGCCGTACATATGATACCAAAACTGAAGACATCGTACGGTGGAGGATGGAGTGAAGTTTGGTCCAACTAGTCGTGCCTTCTCACCCCTTCTCCGAGGCGAAGAAGTCTCGATGAACACATAATATCCTGTAAGAAATATTACCACATTACAGCTAGCCGCTTAATTGTAGTCTGGCCAATAAAACCGCAACATAAAACTATAGTCTTGTTTTATTGCTAGGTTTCTGATCTGAGATCAAATGAACGTGATAAACACATAGCTTAGCCCACAAAGAAAATTATTGCATGTTTAGAACTTTCAACAAACACAGGTTAAGCCTTCGAAAATTTTTGTAGTGGAGAAATTGTTTTCTAACCTTGTTTCCAAAACATAGGCAAACAAGAAAACATTGTTTGCTGGAAATGTTTCCCGACGATGAGCAAACTAGAAAATCTTTTTCCTAGCCATGTTTTCAGAACATTAGCCAACCAGAAAACATCGTTTCCTAGCCATCTTTTCAAAACGTAGGCAAACCGGACAACATTGTTTCCTAGTCATGTTTCTCGAAGGTGCGCAAACCAGAAACTATTCTTTCCTAGCCATGTTTCCAGAAAATAGGAATCTTACCTGAACCGTTGCCAAAGGTATGATCAGTTGATGGTCCTGTGAGAAATGAAGGCGTGCCAGCAGCTGTCAACTGCCAGTCAAAATCATCTTCTGTTTTATCTTGTGCCCATTGGCAAAGTCCGCCCTCGAATGAACATGCACCTGTATGGAACAATATAACGCTCATTGTTACAAGCACCATATATCATATATAAGGTGTTGGCCGGAGGTAAACAATACTTTGAACAAGTTACAAAGTATAAATGTTTTGACTTTGAGAAGTATAATATATTCTGACTTGTCTAACATCAATTAACCTACAATCCTGGTCAAAAATGTTGGCGCACTTGACACTGACTGTGCGAAATTTGACTCCCACATCTATAACAAGCATAGCAACCCCCTCCCCCCCTTCCCACGTTCAATGTTGTGTGTAGTATGTTAGACGTCCAACACAACATTGATTAGGGAGATAGGGGGATGTCTGAACATGAAATTTTGCATAAAAGGATGCGCAAGTATGTATATGGTAATCAGAAATGAAGTAAAGGTTATGCTATTTCGACTAAGGGCGCCAAGGATTTTTGACCACGATTGTAGTTTAACATACATGTTCGCAGACAGCACTGAAGTCCAAAAGCCAAAGTTATGTGAAGCAATGTTGGGCTACCAAGCTCTCAACGACCATTTCAAGTCAAAATATGATAATCACCACTAATTCTTTAACCATGTCAAAACATTTTTTAACCTGAAGGAAGCCTCGATATCCAGTATCCAGGATGCCAGTTATTGTACGTATCTATAGTAGGACAAGGTCCCGCCAATTGCAATCATCATCACCACCTTTATCATCATCACCATCGTCGTCGCTACCATCATCGTCGTCATTACCACCACCACAACAACCATTATCACGATCATCACCATCACCACTACCATCATCACCACTACAGACAATCATTATCATCATCATCATCATCACCGTCATCATCACCACCATCATCACTACCATTGATTACCATTAGCATCATCATCACCAACACCATCACCAACACCATCGTCACCACAATCATCATCACCACAATCATCATCACCACCATCATCATCATCACAGTCATCACCACTACCACCACAATCATCACCACCGCCATATCCAGAATGCCAGTCATTGTACGTACCTATAGTAGGACAAGGTCCCGCCAAAAGTTGCACATCGTCAATTGCAATATCACTGCGTGGGCCTGAACCACGGACAGCTTCAAACATGTACTGAAAATTAAAACATGTGTGAAAAAGTTAATTTAGCCCTCTTTCAGGATCCTGGCTAAACGTCTGCCAGTGAGGTAAAGCTCGAAGTCAATTACCTTAAAATTACTTGCTGACTTCAGAGTCACCCTTCCTTTCTGCCAAGTTGATCCTTGGTTTCCACTCTTCTTCCAAACTTGGCTGGTTCGTACATTATCCTTGATATAGACGGCGAGACTGCCCATATTATTGCCCCACATGTGGTACCAGAACTCCAGACATTTGCCTCCCACTGCAGGCTGTTGTTGAGGACTCTGGAGTCGAGCTTTGTCACCAGTCCTTCGCGGTGATGAAGTTTCAGCGTACATGTAGAAACCTAGAGAAATGAGGACGTTGATGGCGGAGGTTAGTGAATGAGCATACATGCCAGGGTGTTAGCCAGAAAAAAGGTTTTGTCCGTTAAACGTAAATTGGGAAAGTTTTTTTGACCGATAAAAGTCCTTGTGTAGGAATAAATAGTGCTTTTTCCAACGTGTTTCTCCTTTGATGCAAACAACGGTAGCTAATTTGTACATTTCATTTCCGCTGAATGAACACTGAAAAATACACCCGATGGCACTTCGTTTTGTATATTTCATTCCCGGTGAATGAACACGGATGCACACCGATTACACTTTGTTTTGTACATTTTGATGATGCATTTTGAGAAAATAGTTAATGGGAAAAGTAAATGAAACGTTCTTTGATATAATAATATAAAATCAAACGCAATGCACTTTCTCATCAGAAAAAATGAAAATCTTCCAGTAGACCCAATTGGGAAAGCCCCTTAGCTACTTCAATTGGGAAGAGTGGTATATGGGCTAGCTAACATCCTGAGTGTGTTTACAAGAAATAATCTTGAACTGTCTGTGCCAGTGTATAGGTGGTGCCAATAATAAGAAAGCTTCAGATTCATAGGAATGCAACTATCTGAAAACTGATGCAAGGAGAACTTCGACGTTTCGTGCGAAGGCCCCAGGAACTTGCTGGGATCTTGAAAAGGACGACGATTGAGCAACGTCTGATGGGGGCCACGCCCAGTGACGGATAGATCAAGATTGGGGTGGGGGTATTATTGATCAAACATGAAACATTTCAGTCGCCGATTAATCTTTTTCCCCCAAAACAATTTCCGGACATATACCATTTTTCAGTAACTTTCGAATTAATGTACCGTACTTTGTTAAATTTTTCGGTGATATTTTCGTGGATTTAGGTTTTTAAAATATCAATTGTAATATCTTAATCTTGATTTATAAAATTAGAATCTATATTTTTTATCTTTTTCAATGTTTTAATTTCAGGGGCCCATGATGGCAGGGGCCCACAAAAAGTTCTCGTCCCTAGCCAGTACGGCCCTGTAGGCCCTTCGTTGGGACGTTAGAGGACTAGACTTGCTCCAAGTCTCTCTTTCATTGTCATATCGATCCACTATAGTGTACATTACATGACGTAGCACGGAGAGGCGGAGCGAGAAAGAGAGA